TGCCAAATTTCTAGAGAGTTAGTATTTAAGTGGACCCCAACTTTGCCTTGAGCAAATATGTTTGAATAAGTAGGTTTACCCAATATATAATTAAGACATCTAAATATTTATTTATATCTTTTGATAAGAAATTAAGTATGTAATCACATTTGTTGTCAAATAGATGGACAAATTGTTCCCTTAATTGAAAGCACAAGCCAACATCAAACGTAAGGAGCTTCGGCAGCTTCTCCAAATATAAATAGTTAAAATTAATTTTAATTTGACCGTCCGTGAAGAAATCAAACTCATCAAATTTATGTTTTATTTAAATAAGGAATTTGTAACATAATTATTTGAATATATAAGCTAAGTCTTTCACCTAAAACTCAAACTCAAGAGCGTAGTGTGCATTATATTCTGAAAGCACACAAAGCTTAAAGTGATAAAACAAATAGATTAAGATAAAAATATATAATTCCTAGTAGCCAAGTTAGTTTTAGGTAACTTAATTTCCGTTACGCTTCAATTTATCAATTTGATAAATCGAGTTATTTCAAGTCAGATGAATAGGTCGATGCAAGTCAAATTACTGTATCAAGTCTAAATTAATTTTCCCTCGCTCAATTATTCCCTTTGCATTTAAATTGAATGTTTCTCATTCGAGCCTTGCACCTACCTCATTTGCACTAGATAAACTAAATACAATACACATGAATTAATAAGAAGCTAAGATAAAGGATTAAAGGGCACACCAATATTTACACATTACACTACGTATATTGAAGTTTCTCTTCTTATTGGTATATATTAATAAAATATCTACATATAATCATATGTGGTGGTCCTTGCATTTTGACCAACTATACCTTTAAGGAGAAAACTTATATAGATCTCGTAATTTGTTATTAATTTGGTATAATTAGGAATGGAATTGTTGAATTTAATTGCAATTAAATCAAAGAGTGGATGATTACAATGAAAAAAAGTGCAATTGACTAAATAGTTAATCTTTTCGAGCCCATAAACTTTAGCACCTTAAAATAAAGTTTAAAACGTTGATTATAGTCAAACAAACTGACCATCTTCATACATCACCCTAAATATTAAACAAATGGTCATAACTTGAGATAAAGGAAAGACAAGCAAATTAAACGGAAAATAAAGTTTTGGGTCCTAATACTCCAAATTAATTCGTCGCATTTGTTTACAACTTGGTGTTTTTCGCTTATAACTGGGCCACATCAAATGCACTTTGAAAGCTATATATTAATTAATCAATTATCAATAAAAAAAAATCTATCTAATTAAGACTGTACTCAAATTGATTACAGTTTTCATTACGTATAGATCACAAAAAGCGATTGAATAAAAGTGTACGTGAATATTGCTAAAATCAATACATACATGTTAACTAAAAAAAAATGGATGAAGTATTAGTTTATCAGGATAACTAATCTTGAAATGAAGTGTTATACTCTAGATACAAATTAAAGTATAAAAGACAATGGACTCATAACATATAAATAAAACATAATAATGTTATAAATTCTTGAATTTAGCCTTTAGGACTACATATAGGGTTACTAATAATTCGTATTATTATTGTGTAATCAAATATTCTAAGAGTAAGAGTACAATACGAAGTAGTCAAGATGGAAAACTTGTAGTCTAATGGGAAAAAGGAGGGACATACTTTAGTCTTTAGAGTTTAGAACTCAAAAAGAAAAGAAGAAGAGTCGTAAACATAAAGAGATGGAAGTAATAGATTGGTTTAGAAAGAGGGAAGAAAGTAGTCTTCAACTACAAAAAAAGAAAGAAAGTGGTAAGTGTGTCCGTTAAAGTTGTCAATTCATTTAGGAAGTACTTGTAAGTTGTATGCCTTTGTAATTTGCATGTCCCACTGTCCTATTCGTCTTTTTTTTCTTTTTTTTTTTTTTTGGCATGGGTTAATTTAATAAATTTGATGTAAAATTGGTTACAAAAATTTCATAAATTAAACGTAAAATGATAAGATAAACAGTAGTAATTTTGTTATGTACATATGATGAGAAATTATATAGGAAATATTTATCACTTACGATCTTATAGAACATGGTATATATATTTACTCTTGAATATCATAAATAAATAATCTCGGATTAATCAATAATCTCATCATCAGTCAATGCTCTCACTAGTACTCCGTAATTGATTATTTCTTATGTGATGCTTTCAATAAATTTATTTTAAATATGGTGTTAGAATTTATTATTTATTCAATTAATTATACGTATAAATTAGGGACAAAGTTTAAGACCTTTGATCATAAATTATAGTATATGTGAGAAATGACCATATTAATTAGGTGTGACTTGTGAGAAAGCCACCCTAGTTAAGCAAATTTCATTAGATAAATAAGATTTTCTCTTCTTTTTATTTTTTTGTTAACAAATTATAAGCATTTCTCTTGTCCATTTCTGTAATAAAAATGAAATGTTAAACGGGTTGGAAGAATTCAAGTAAAAAGGACAAATTATGGTGATAGAAAAAAGTGGGGATTTGTGAAATGGTAGTGTTTCTTACGAAAATGTTTAGTTGACTTTTTATATTTTGGGTTGGTTGACTTGTTGGTCCAATGCTCAAAGCTTCTAACTTTGGTTGCAACTGCTTGAAGCTTAAATTACTACCTAGGGACTACGGAATAGGGAGGAAGTAGATTACATTTTTTTTTCTTACAAGTTTTATTTTTTGTAGTTTGCAAATTATAATTTGGGTGTATCAATTTTACTTTATTTTTCAATTTAGTAGTAGTGGTAGTTCGTTCTAGTCATGTGAACTTGTGTTTCTTGATCAAGAAAAAAAAAAAAAAAAAAAAAAGTTACGTTCACCATTCTTTAAAAGTTGTAATATGGAATACAACATTTACGCCTCGCAACATTAAACTTCGGCCATTATTATGTTTATATTCATTTTTCTAAAAAAAATAATACAATAATGCCACTAACAATAGTTTACACCTTAGTTAACAAAAAATAATAAATAAAAATAAAAAATTGTGATACTACTTCTATTAGACTACTAGAAACCCGTTTATGAATTGAGGAAATTCCATGATGTTACAATTAAGTTTGAAATTATAAAAATTACGGAGTACTTCGTACATGTGTAGATATGTCACCTTCATTAAATATTTTACTTCCAATTTGAAAATTCAAAAAGCTTAATTTTTAACCTTGAAGAATTATTCATCACTCATCTTGACATTGCTACATAATTGTATTTATTGTTTCAATCTAGGTTTTGTAATGGTTTATACTAGAACTTTTAATTTATGTAATATCCCCTCAAAGAAAAAAAAAAAAAAAAAATGGGTATAAGTAATATAAGCCCATTAAATCAATATATGGCTATAAAATGGCCCAGTAGATTAAGAGTCTAGGTCCATCACAAAATAGAATTATTATATCCGGTCCATACGCAACACTTTAGTTTTAGAATAGTAAAAAGTAAAGCAGAAAAAAATCAATCATGCGGGGATAGCTCAGTTGGGAGAGCGTCAGACTGAAGATCTGAAGGTCGCGTGTTCGATCCACGCTCACCGCATTTTTTCACATGCTATTATTTTTTTTTTTTGGGGTCGGCTAAATTTACTTTACTAACCTGTTGAGCCATGCTACATTACTACGAAAGCCTCAACTACATAACAAGATGAATAGTATGGTCCGATATAAAAAATGGGCCCATTGACCCACAAGCCTAAGAAGGCTAAAATCATAACAAGATAAATAGTACGGTCCAATTAAAGATGCTACTTTTTTTTTCTTTTTTAAATTAGAGTAAGTTCAAAAATATAACCACGCTTTTCCCTATTCTCTCTGTTTTTGTAAGTGCATTAGTTTGACCGGGGGTATTAGTTCACTGAAAAATAAAACGTAGATGTGATAAGGAGACTTAGATACATTTCAGAGTATTAATTAGATTAAAAATAAATAAAAAAATGTATATACTAGAGTTAATCCCAAATTAAAAGTATAAAAAATGTATGTACTGGAGTTAATATTAGTTGAATTAATTGGACATAGTTGACACTTGAATCTTGTTGTATAGCATTTCACGGACTAAAGCAACCATAATATTTGAATATATGTAACAAAATCTAGTATTGCATCCGACTTTTAATCGAGATTTAAGTATTGAACCTCAAGTCACAGCCTCACAGGTACCACATGTCACGGATACGTACCACCATACATAACTTTTCCTATCAAACTAATTAGCATTCAAGTATATACTGTAGTATATTGTATATTTGCATATAGCCATATAGGTTTTATTGTGAGACACTTGTAACTTGTAAGCTGTAATGTTTGTATACATAGATTTTGTACACCCTTATAAAGGATAGACCTTAAGAATTAAATAAAGAAATACAAATGACATACAATGAATATATGATTTGGGTTTTAATTATCACTTCTAGACTTTAACCAAGTAATTTACTTGACACTTAGCATATGATAGGATTTCTCCCAAGAATACAAAAACAATAGTTAAAGGGGAAAATTTTAACCGTTACTATTAAACTAGTTGACATCCGCATCAAATATGAAGTCGTGAAGCAAGTCTTGTCAACATCATAAAATAGGGAGTGTTGCTATTAAACTAGTTGACATCCGCGTCAAATATTAAGTCCCGAAGCAAGTCTTGTCAACATGATAAAATAGGGAGCCTACCATTGAAGGGTTAATTTGAAGAGTATAAATGAACCCTACAATTATTTATCTGTTAATTGGTAGTTTGTTCTTATATCTAACAAAAATTACTTTTTGTTAAGAATTAGGGCTTTGTAACGTTATAATGTTGCTTTTTGTTTGGATTTTATTGCGAGCGCCGTGTTTAAACCAGCACCACTCATAGTTGCCCAATTTCTGCCACTAGATAACCCTAGCATTATACAGTGTCATATCATAATATTATACCTAGCTTACAATATTTTGTTTATATATATATATAATCTTCTTATAATTTACAATCTTCATTTACTTTGTCAAAGATTACAAAAATTCATCAAGTTGAAGGTTTTGTATTCAATTTCATGGTCAGATCAAAGGCTTATTTCAGCATTTACTAAACCAAGCAAAAAGACAAAAAGGTTACTATACTTATGTATAATACTCTAATTATTTAAGATTTTTCAATGGTTAAGTAATTTAACTTTGATTAATATTTTCTTTCTTTCTTTTAATCCCTTCTTAAACAGCTAGCAAAGGAAACAAATTCAGCCGCGTGATAGGAAAAATGGTATGGCTTAATTTGATTGCTTGATGTTGATGTTAATGTTGAAAATCGTAATTATTTTAGCAAGATAATTTCTGTTCTTGGAGGTATATGATCAACTAGAGTTAGATTTATATAGACAAAAGAATTGTACATCTTCCTGTTTTTCCTCCTTTATGTCCAAACTTTTAGGTTAATTAAATTTGTTCTTTGAATGTTTCAGCTTAATTAAGTATCTGCTGCATGAAATTTATATGCTAATCTTTTCAAGTGGTTATATTTTTTTTATATAAATGTGTAAATGGAAAGTAGGCAGAGAGCTTGAATGGCATTGTAGGATGCACAATGCCAATATCCAGGAATTTTCAGATGTTTTAATTGGATGATTGTTGAATCTTAAGTTGGAAATTAGCTAGATCATGCTAAAAGTCGAAGCATTTATAAATCTGAGTTTCTTGTTTATAAGCTAAGGCTTGTTCGGCAAAAGTTGTAGTATGTAGCTAGTTTATGTTATCTATTAGAAGTTAGCTATCAAATGAATGAACTACTAAGTATATTATCTTAAAGTTCCAAAATATACAGTACATCAACCTTTAAAATTTATCATTGAATAATTTTTTACTAAACAACAAGGCCACATTTCACCTGTAGTAATGTTTTGACTTGGTCAAAACCCTTAGAGTTACTAGTTGTTGTGTAAGAAACCCTTAACGTACTCACTTTTGTCAGATCTATTAAAACGCGTAGATGAAAAGTATAATGTCCTTTTTGGATTGTTTTTTTGTCGGCCACATAATATAAATAGCTTTATATCTTGATATGGATCCGGTTTTTTTTAATTTTTATGTGCTTGACATTATTAAGCATGGATGAGCCTTTTGTAATTAATACTTCAAGATCCTTTAGGATCAACAATTATAACCAAAAAAAACTAAAGGATAGTGTACGTGCCGTTCAAAAACACCTTAAGGCAAAAATAAAAGAACCCGATCTCTTAATTAGACAATCTAAATTAAAGTTAGCTATTCGAGATTTCAAAATGGTGGCTATTTAGAAATCTAGACTAGGGATGATTGCTTTTAGTAAGAAGCATTTTTAAGCCTAGGCATCTTATCATAGGATTCATATCCCCTAACATAAATTACATGACCAATAATTTACTGTTGACCTTGTAAAACCTAATAAGGACAATTATAGAACCCCCATCTACATAAATATAGCAGATCCCTAAGAAAACCAATTACCAAGATAATAAAAGCCACATATCATACAATTAATAATAATATAATTAAGCTATTATATATCTTCTTAATTAAATTGATTGTGTGCTTTCTTTAGTTCATACTGGTGAGCTAGCTACTTACCTATAGTATAGTAACAAGAATATATTGATCATTGAGATTAATTTAGGAGGAGTTAGGTTTGTCTCTAATTATCCCTACAAAACGAGGAGAACGAGTTTCATTAATAGCATATAAAGTATAATTTTGCTTTCTAATATTAATGTTTTGGTCAAATTAAGTACATGCTGCCTAACCAAATCAAAACACGGCATGCCAAATCTAGGAGCATCGGAGTTCATAAGCTTATCTTGGAGGAAGGATGAAGTTTGTTAATGCCTAATAATGGGTTAGTTCTTGATGGAGTATCCCAAAGGCGGGCGTTGAATTATTGACACTTCGACCTAGGCATGGACACTTGATTTTGGACCAAAACCTTGATAGTTGTGTATTGGATACATTAGTTCTTGTTTACAATCAATCATTCCCTAATTAAGCTCCTTAATATATAAAAGCTTCATACATAATTAGTCCCTCTTATAACCAAAGTAAGCCTTAAAATTTCAGGGAGGTACCAAGCACCTATGAAAGAAAGATCAAGCATAGTACATACAATTCAGATCAGTTAGATCAGATACCTAATTAAGCTACTCAAAATCGGTTTTGTCATCAAACTAGATGATTTGATAACGTATACACAGAAGATTAATTTTTGGTATGATGCTGATTAAATCGAAAATAAACTATTTACTGAAGAAACTGAAAGAAAGATTAGGGTTAACAACAAAGTAATGAGGAAAAACCTTTATGACAAAAAGATGTCAGGTAAAAAAAGATCCTTAAGTCAAAGCTTTAGGTCTTTGTAATTAAATCCAATTATAAAGCTAATTAAAGCTTAAATTCTTGAAAAAACCACATTATTATTATAATTATTGATTGATCTAACATCTTCCATGACTACTACAGAGATCTAAGAAAACATTACTATAGGAGGCAGATAATACGAAATTAGGGTTTCGATCTAAAAGGTATCAACAAATATTTATCTAGAATCTAAGGTAGAGAGATTTATATAGGGATTCTATTTAATCATTGTAATCAAAGCTCATGCTTTGATCAACGAAAAAAAAAAAAAAAAAAAAAAAAAAAGATGTATGCAAGTAGCATCTCAAAAATTGGATAAAAACTAGACTTAAAAACCTTCAAATCATTGTTTAATTTACTTCCTTTCACAATGAATATTGAGTATAGCCAAAAGCCATGGAGTGAAGATCATCGGCGTCTTGGTAAGGCCATTTCGATTTATTCTCATACTCTAGAGAGGCCATGGAAGCCGAGTGATGAGACGAAGATCCTTCATAGCTAGCAAAAGAGGCATCTTGATCATCTTGTAAAACCATTGAGTTATGGTTATTATTATATCCTCCTTGATTATTTGATCCATAGATTGCTGAAGATTCGGCGCTACAGTTGAGGTGGTTTGGATCAAAGGGAGGTACCATTTGTGGGTACTCAGATTGCAACCAACTATGAACATCTTGAGGGTAATTAGAAGAAGATCTTTCACTAGGGTTTTGAGTAGAATTATTACCATTTAACAAGCCTTGAGCTGCTTGTAATTGCTTTAAAGCTGCTAATTGTGCTTGCAAGTTTACAACCTGCATAATTTTTGATCAAAAATTATAAATTCCTCACTCGATTCAAAAATTAGGGCTACTAAGAGCCACAAAAAAAAAATGAAGAAACAACAAAAACACGCGATTTATCTAGTGTTTTAGATGAGACACAGAACGAGACAAAGGATCAAACTCGCGAAACATATGTAGTAATTACCTGTTGTTGTAGGGCAAAAATATGGGAAACACACCCATAGATGGGGTCTTGGAGCCTAGCTTGAGCCTCATAAGAAATGGTGATGGCGGCCTCACTACGATCACTAGCCGGCAAATGAGCAAGTAATTTGGACACATTACTCGCCCCGAAAACCTTATGGATGGCTGCAAAATGAGTAGCACCTTGTTCATGACAGAAATAAGGTGCAAAAACACATCCCCTCACACATTTCCTCCTCAAGAACTTGCAAGCACCACAAGGTGAACTTGAGCCAGTCATTTTTGTTTAATTTGGATACTAAATTAGATTATTTTTTGTGATCGAATTTAGTTTATGCTTAATATTAATTTAGGTGAAAAAAGATAATAGTTGTTACTTGTTTTAAGGGAGTTTTGAAGGCCAAAGGAAAGAAGAACCTCCATGTTTATAAACACCATAGGATGAGGGAGGTTTACTATATTTTAATCAATACTTTAATTACATTATGTTCCCTTAATGGCCTACAAACTATTTTATTAAATTGGTTAATTATAAACCCCTCTCTTCTTTAACTTAACCCCTCCATTGTTATAAGATCATATGATTAAATTAATTAATAATAATAAGAATAATAATCTCATACTTTAATTAGAGACTCCCACATTCAACATCCTTAAACGACAAGAGCTAGGCATAAACCAAACCCCATTTATGTATCTATCTGGATGTCTATTGGATCCATTTGTAATTAACCATTTTTTTTTCACAAAAAAATAATCTTAATCAATTGTTATTTGCCAATTTACGTATAAATAATAATTCTTTCTTTTTAGTATCCCGAGGCGCATGTTGTAATTTTAGGTATTTTAAAATAGGAATCTTCCAATATTTACCTTGGATTAGTAGTAAAATTGTTTATATAACCTTACATTTTTCATATGTTTTCTATGCAAATTGACAAATCATAGTATTATAATTGTACTCGTAACTAAGTAATTAATACAATTTGTTTATGCAATCCGACCAAATTATTTATTGGAATTTGAGATTTATCTCGAATGATCATGACATTATTAGTCAATCTTAACCATTTAATAGAGAAAAAGACTTTTTTGTTACACTATGCTTTACAGTATATCATAATTAATGTGTACGCGCAAATGTACTGTATTGATTTAAGACAATGTTTATAATTTTATTGTAGGTGGACTTAGAATTTGTGTGAACCAATAAACTTATTTATTTGTTGTGTATACATCCTCGATTGATGGAATAATATAATATGTAGCCTCGGCACAAATGTGCATGATAAATGATCTTTGAGCAGATAATCACACACCCGGGTGTATAATAAAAGCAAAGATTTTAGTAATCATCCTACTTTATACGCAATAAAAATGAGATTGCAAAAATCACAAAATGTATTTCAATATGGTAAAATAATTTCTGTTCTATTCAAATTAATGCATCTTTTTGGTCATTTGGCAAATAATATACATTAGCTAATATTTGTTTTTTCTCTAAAACTTAAAAAACAGGATGACTCAGCTTTTGATCAGTTGATAACTACACTACTAGAAGAATTTCTTTTGTTAATTTTTATATAATTTGGACAATGCCATTATGCCAACTGCCAATGACCAAATGATGGGCAGCTTTAAATGATCATTGAACAGAAAAAATAATTATGATTTATATTATATGCTAAGACAAAATAAAGAGAATAGACATCAAGAAAACTATGTTTGAACAGTCAAAAGGAACCATGAAAAATATGTATATATACTTCATATTTTCTTATTGGGTACAAAATGACACTATGAAATCATCATTGTCCTACTATATATATTAATATTTAATGTACATTTTTACCTTTTATTGGATTAACAAAAGTTACATACAATATACTACAAAATTTAACAGAATTAATCACCTAAATCTTGATTTTGGAAGCTTTGCTGTCTAATTAAAACTATTAAGCATAATAAGCTTTATTACTGTAAAATTCTGACACAAACCCACTTCAATCTTACAGGGTAGTTTTCGGTCCCACTTAATTAAATTTTAATTATAAGATTAAAAGATCCTTCTAATAATTAAAGAGGAAACATAAGGAATTTGTAATTGGATAATTATTATATTAATATGAAACCATAAACTTGTAAGAGTTGTAACAATGTCCCATAATTCAGACATTGGGTCACCCCAATATATTTTGGTTACATGTTAATATAAGAACTTTCTAATTAGGTTAATTATATTAGTGGTCAATTGTTATTTAATTAATATAGAAAAGCAAAAAAAATTGCAAAGTGAAAAATAATGGTTGAAAATAATAAAAATTAATGGAGCCTATTATTCTAAAATTGAAACAAAACTAAAGGTTGTGACAGAAAGATAGAATCCCTTAAAAAATAAAATTCAAAAATTAAAAGATTTCTCACTTTGTGTAATCAATTGTGTACGTGTGTGTGTGTATTTGTTTATGTACAAGAGGGTCACAGCTTGTCGAGCAATACGGGAGTATTATTAATTAAAATTATTATCACTAATTAAGCTAGATCAATAATTTAATTGAATTTTGATTTTTAAGTCACTTTCTAGTGTCACACAATGGTACCCAACAAACAAGAGACCTTACTCTAAATGTGAATATTAGAATAGCCCCCACATAATTATGAAATGGCCCCTTGAAATTGACTTGATGTTCCTTGTCCTTCTACTTTGTTTTCCTCTTCTATACATTTTGTTTTTGATTAAAGATGGAATTAGGGTAAAAATATATTATTTGACATTCGAGTTATAACTTATAAGTAGTAATAGACTACTCATTTATATCGTGATAATTAATAATTTGTCATTGACAAAAGAGATGAGTATTTGTATAACTAATAAATCATTGGTGGTGACTTTTAAGCCAGAAACAACATACACGATCATTGAGACAGACTAAAGACATGTGTTTGATAGGTCACTAGTTCTAATCCCTTGGGTATTTGTATAACTAACGAGATATTAGTCGTCATGACTTATAAACCGGAAACAACAAACTCATTCATTAGTTACTTAACACTTGAAGCATTATTGGCCCAATTATGTAGACTAAATGCATGTATTTGATAGGTTATTATTTTAAATCTCTCTTTTCTTTCATTTGTAATTGTTAGAGGACCAACTCAATTAAAATATAAGTTGATGGTTAGAAGCTCATTATTATTGGTTTATAAACTCTATCATGCCACAACACATAAAAGTCCACTGAGCTTAAAATGTGGATGTAACTTGAGTCTCCAAATACGCAACATGAACTAATTCCACTTAAAAGGAGGGATGGGTGAGATTGGAATTGATGATGATCATTTGTCATGCTAGCTTGATACCATATTAGAGGATCGACTCAATTAAAAACTTAAGCTAATAGTTGGAGCCCAAAATTGGTTTATACATATTCTATCAGTAATCTATGCCATATATGGCTTTGAACCTATATGATCAAGTACATGCCTCATTAAGAAAGAGAGTTTATTGAGGTTTTAGCCCAAAACTATATGACGATAGCACGAGGAAAATCACCATATTACATTCACACTAGCCTTATAAAACTAGTAAATCTCTATTCTTTATAATTTATCAATTTGGGATATTCGCATGTGTTGTTTGGAATAGAGTTTATAAATTTCAACCGGTACTCATTTTAAAAATCTCCCATTTTTTCTTGGAAATGTAAGCAACTTAACAATATGATCATTACTTTTTTTGTTTCTAGAAAATATATATAAGTGAAGGTGACATAACAACTTTACACCTGCCTTACAATATATAGGAATTAAAATAATTCCAAATTCACCTTAGCTTAATTACTTAAGAGTTTGTGTTATAATGCATGTTTCATTTAATCACTACTATAACATAGAAGATGACAAGGCTAATAAGCAGATGGAGATATAACATTGGATGACATAAACGTAACAATAATAATAATGTACATTATATTTATGCATGGAAGCATTGTATTTGCATAGCCAACATCCGAATATGGGGAATTTTGTGGCCCTTTATTATCTTTCGTGCTCAGGTGTACTTGTTCGCCACTTTAGCTTTCTAAGGTTGAATTTATCTTACAGACAATAAGGCATGTTTGATTAAAAGATGGATTAATTAATTTAACTAATTCAATTTTAATTAATTTATTTAACTTTTAGATATAAAAAAAGAGAACACCAAACAAACCCCATCTAAATTTAATCTAATTATAAATTAAACTTTGTCACCCTTTAATACACATAAATCAATAGATAAATCATTTGATAACGTGTATGATCTAGTATGTTTTGAGAAACTAATTAAATAGACTTTTGTATAATCCAATTAGCTTAATTTAGAACTACTTCTAGTTTTATTTATTTTAAAAATATACATAGATAATAAATCTAGAAGTACTTGCATCATGAATTATTATTTGTTTGTTTCTTCAAAACCTACCAGAAATGACACTTCACCTTCCAATCTCGACACTCTGTAGTCCTTTACCGTTTTACACATTTTTAGTTGTTTTTAAGTAGGTCTGTTCCATCTTCTACTAAATCAATTAATTGATTTTTACAAAATAGTTTGGTTCATAAAATTGTGTTCACGGTAATTGAATAGAGTTTAAAAATGTAAAGAGGTTTGAAAAAATTAGTAAGCTTCCGTTCTCTTTATCTAAAACAATAATATTCTATAAACAAAATTTCAAATTAGTAAAAATCAATAACTTTTATGAACAAATATACTGAGAATCGGTAAAAATAAGTTAATTGTTATGTATAATTTCTGTTCGTTCATAAAAAATAAAGTGAACAACATAGGAACCATTATTGATAATTGTATTTTCAAAGTTGATACCATTTGATATTGTGTTTTCAAAGTTGATCTTTTGGTAGAATAGCTACCAACTCCGTATTATTTAGGGGAAACATATATGCAATAACAGCGAGAGTTTAATTAAGACAAATTGATAATTAACCATCAGTTGTTTCAATTCATTAATTAAGAATTAATCTAAGGGTTTAGGACACTTATATACTGTTATACACGTAACATCATTGGTAATTATTGGCCCACCTCATTTGGGAGCTTGACATTTTAATCATATAATAATATGAGAGCATTTTAAACTAAATAATTTACAATAGTTCTGAATTTTCAATAATGGATATTTCTACGGTAATCATCTAATGACTATCACTATACTTAATTTTTAACTGTGAATTTTTTTTTTTTGTTAGTCAAATTTGTTAGAAATGATTTTTCTTTTCTATAAATTCATTTTTTTTCTAGAAATTTCAACGTATATATTCTCTATTTCTCTCCCTTTTTATATAATAGTACAAAATACAAGTTTTATGGGCACTTTGTCTAACAAATGCATTATTTATTTTAATGTAACCGTGCTATAGTAGTGTTTTTATTTTTTTTCCCTTACAAACGCCAAAAGTGTAAAGAGAGTAACTATTTTTTTAATTCTTCAAATGTAATTTGGACTTTTTAGTAACGAAAGTTCTTGTATAGGCTTTATGTTACATACTATCTAATTTTATTTAAGAGAAAAGATTCATGTGAGCTGTTACGTACATGTACATACCACTCATAAATCTCATGTAAAAATGTAAAATAGTGTAATGTGTATATTTATATGATTACAATGATGAATTGGTGGATTTTGTCTATATGCTTGTGCCAGCTTCTTCTGTTGGAACCTATTTAATTTAACCTCACTGTTGCACT